GTACTACAAGGTCAGCAATTCAAAACCACCAGCCAGCCCACTAGAAAGAAGACAGGGCTTTCTACTCCCATAAAGAGTTAGCGTCTCAGAAACCCACAGGGACAGGTCTACCCTGTTCTGTACGGCCACTGTGAGTCGGCAATGAGTTTGGTTTGGAGTGCCAGTTGAGTGTCTTCACGGCCGCTCCCCGCTGCCACTGTTTATCACAATGCATAGATGCTTCTCGGTCCTCTGAAGTGGATATGATTTCTATGGTTGACACTCCAGAGGGAAAATGTTTTTAACCACACAAGCAATATTCAAGGCTGTGCAATGATCTCAATAAGCAAACTTGTAGAACCCAAAGATGAGTTACCAGGAGTGGAATGGGAGAGGAGTGTTGCTTTCGGGGGGTGGAGAAAGTGAGTTGATGTTAACAGGGGTGGCATCATTTAGAAAACGAGCAACGGGAGGGAAGGGGGCGGAGAAAGGGGGAATCGATCACAAGGATCTACATACAACCTCCTCTCTGGGGAATGGGCAGCAGAGGGGTGGGTGAAGGAAGACGCTGGGCAGTGTAAGATAAGATATAATAATAATTTATAAATTATTAAGGGTTCATGAAAGGGGAGGGGGGAAAGGAAAACGAGCTAATTCCAGGAACCCAAGAGGAAAGCGAATTTTGAGAATGATGAGGGCAACACAATTGATGTATGTATGGATTGTGATGAATTGTGTGAGCCCCAATAAAATGATTTTTTTTTAAAAGCGAGCAATCGTAGTGTCATACCCCCAGAGAAATGTGACCGGTGCCCTTGAGTTATAAATGCAGAAGCTGTGTTGACAGTTGTCTTGATATGCATATCACCAGGGGAAAAGAGGGGTGTTTGGGGGGTGAGGAGGATTGTACATCATCATTGACTAAGCTACTTACTTCCCAGTGGCTTGTAGATTTCTTTGGGTCCTTGTCCGTGGAGGATTCCATGGAGTGTCTGCGGGCTATGCTGTCCTCAAACATCGTCCAGAACCTCCAGCTGTGTGTACAGGTGGCATCCAAGTACCATGAGCAGCTGGGCACCCAGTCCTTGGTGGAGCTCTTTGAGGCCTTCAGGAGTTATGAAGGTAAGTAGCATGGCCTCTGGCTGACCTTGCCACAGGACTGGTGCCTCCTTTCTCACGGTCCCTGTGTCTTTGCCCAGTGGGGAATTGAGTCTTCCTCACTGAGGGTGTCTGCAAGCGTTAGGGCCACCAAAGCAGACACTGATTTCTGTACGCTCTTGGGAACTTTGAGGAGCTAGTTGGATAAACACATCAGTCGAACAGGTGTGGAAGAGAGTGGAGGTGTGCCAGTGAATATGCATAGATTTGACAGGATGTTTGTATACTTGCTGCAAATACATCCTTGGATGTGGTGGAGCTTATGAAAACGTCTTCCACGTAACGAAATAACATGAAGGAATGCATTTCTGGAGCTGAGGGTGCAAGACCATAGTCACAGGGACACTTTGGTCCATTGGTGTGCAAAATCCAAGAAGACAATGGTCTCCCTCCTACTTGGGTGAGTAACAACTGGAGTCTTAAAAGCTCATGAGCAGCCATCTAAGGCACAACAATGGGTCTCTTCCCATCTGGAGAGAGGGAGGAAGGGTGAAGACAATCTAAACAAAATGGAAACAAGTCCAGTAGACTGTAAACCCTGCAAACATCCGTCATTTCCACAACTCTGAGACCAGAAGAACTAGATGGTGCCCACTACCACTAGCAACTGCACTGAGAAGGATCACGTGAGAAGGTCCTGGGTAGAATGGGAGAAACGTGTGGAGCAGAACTCAAAAAGAGACCAGGCTGATTGGTCAAGCAGAGACTGGTGGGACCCCGTCCCCACCCCCCCAAGACTGTGGCCCTTAGTCACCCTTCAGGTCTGAAACTGAACTCATCCCCATGTTAGAATTTAAGATCAAAAGGGTAGCATTTCCCCAAGGACAGAGCATGAGGAAAGAAGGATTCAGGATGAAAAAAACCGTAATAGGAAGTGAGATAAACAGTGGTGCATTGAGGGAACCGAAATGGATGAACTGAAACAAAGTGTCTATAAACTGTCGAACACAAACCCAATTAGTTGCTCTGTAACCTTAACCTAAATTGCAATAGAAATTCTGTAAGCTCACTTTTCGTTGGAATGGGTACAAATAGGAATCTCTTCCAACTGGTTGGGTAGAGTTACCTAGGTGATTACTGTAATTGCTGTCAGTAAGTAATACACTGGTAAAAAGTCACATTAGCAAAAGTTGTGTGTTAGATAAACTTACTCAAAAAAATGTCCATATGACAAAATAATAATTATGAAGGGTTCATGAGGG